TGTGTGTGTGTGTGTGTGTGTGTGTGTGTGTGTGTGTGTGTGTGTGAATGCTTCTAGCTTCTTGAAAGCTAGAAGAGGGCATCAGATTCCCTTGAGCTGAAATTATAGGTATTGTAAGCAAATGATCCTAACCACTCAGCCATCTCTTCAGCCCAAAACCTTTTAAAAGAAGTACTAGATTTTAGTGACAAAAATCAGACAATAGCTGTTTCTTCTCAGAAAAACAATGAAGTACTCCTACAACTAAAAAATCTGTGGGACTGTTTTTTTTTTATATTTACTGAAATTAAGAAAACATATTGCTACAGTTTGAATGCAGCAGTACATTAAAAACCTAACTATACTTCATAACTTGCAACTTCACTATGATATATAAAGAACTGAAGAGATTATCAAAAATGTAAAACCAGTCTGATCTCCTAAACTCACTTGTTTTTTGCTTCTTTAACACAATAAAATCTTCATAAATATTTTATGTACATGTTATTCATTTTAACATGTACTGAGATGATATTTAAATAACTGATATATATTTAAATTTTTATTTTTAGTCTATTAAATATAAACATATAACCAAAAGCTTTAGGGTAATGACAATATTTTCTCTAGGTCAAAGAAATAAACCTGTGAGGATGCTAATTAGCAGAGGACATGAAAACACAGGTGTTTGCTGTGGATATCGCTCTATATAAATTAAACACTGATGGCCAGTGACCAGGCAGGAAGTATAGGTGGGACAAGGAGAGAGGAGAATTGGGGGAACAGGAAGAAGGAGGGAGAGACACTGCCAGCCACCGCGAGGACAAGCAGCATGTAAAGATGCCAGTAAGCCACGAGCCACGTGGCAAGGTATAGATTTAAAGAAATGGGTTAATTTAAGTTATAAGAACAGTTAGCAAGAAGCCTGCCATGGCCATACAGTTTGTAAATAGTCTAAGCGTCTGTGTGTTTATTTTATATGTGGGTTGTGGGACTGTGGGGCTTGAGGGGGGGGGGCTGGAGAGAAGCTCTCCAGCAACAGGTGTTGATCAGCATCTTTTTAAGTCAGAGTTGACAAAATAATACCTGGCACAAAATCTAGTTTTTTTCTAGATTCCTCTTGCATTAGGTTTTCCAAACTTGGCTGTCAAAGCAACACAAACTGGGCAGCTTAAATAGAAACTTATTGTCTCACAATTCTGAGGACTAGAAATCCAAGGTGAAAGTATTGGGGAAAAATAAAGTCTCCGTACTGTTGGTTCATGCCTTCTGTTTAGAGATCAGTGGTCTTTTGTCAACCTTTAGTCTTTCTTAGCTTGTACATGCAGGGTGATGTTAGGTCTCCGAGTGATGCTGGAACCATCCTAACTTGTGCAAGTATAATTATATGAAAGTTTTGCAACAACAAATCATCTAACAATACATTCTGAGACAGCAGTCTCATCATTTGGAGATGTGTCACTCTACATAGATGCTTCCAATCTTGTGTTGGTTTTACCCAATAGACTCTCACATCATGGTTGCTAAGGAACAGAGAGTAGGAGTGGAACAAGGGACCAACAATAATGATTAAAGACCTGACCTAGTTTTTCACTGTTACCAGCCAAGTTCTATCTCCCAACACCTCTACAACGTAGGGATCAAACACTCCAAGTATTAAACTGGGGAGAAGACAATTCATATTATAACCAAGATACACATTAATAAATTTGTCTTTAGAAAATTTCTTTAAGTCAATTTATTGTCCCTTGATAATACTATCTCTACCCTATGTCTTATAATTTTATTTCTACTTTATTTTTAATTCCTGAATTAACTCACTCATAATTTGACTAAATAGCATCACCATCACCTTTACCATCATTATTTCTTGAGACAGGTTCTCATTATGTACCCAAAACTGATTTCAAATTCAATTTTCCTGCCTTAGCTTCTGGAGTGCTGGGCTTACCGGCTTGTGTCTCCACTCTCAATATGTTGCCATTACTGTAGTCACCACCACTATCATGACACCCATTATGGTCTGGTGTTGAGAGTTGAACCTACTCTTGAATATGTGCTCAGTAAACCATCTGTAGTACAGCTATGCCAACAGCCCTCTAAGGGTAAAAATTTTTATACGTCGCTGCTTTTTTTTGAGTTTTATATTTACAAATTTCCTATCTGCTCTCTTTCAATTTTTAATTTTTTAAATCTCTAAGTTATCAACTTATGCAGCTTTTCTAGTATAAACCTGTGGATTCCCATATTTCATTGATCGGAATATATATATATATATATATATATATATATATATATATATATATACACACACACACACACACACACACACACACACACACACATCCATACACACACACACCTTTCCACCATGATTGTTAAATGGCACTGAGGTTATGTTTGATTGCCTTTTGGAAACTATTCAAAGATGACTCAAACATACATAAAAAAAGAAGCCAGTGGCTTTCCAGGTCAGTCATTATCCGACAGGTTTGTTTGCTATTTTTTAGACAGGCCCTCACTATGCAATCCTGGCTGATCTGTGACTCACTATAAAATCTAAACTGGGCTCAAACTCATGGGTATTTCTGCCTCAGACTCCCAAGCACTTGAATTCTAGGCAAATGCCACCATGTCATCAAATGTTCCAGATCACTTTTAAATAATCCTCATGAAAGAGAATTTGACTAAAATTACATAAAACATATAAATCATAAAGCTATAGCTTAAAGATTAAGGTAACAGACACTTCCTTTGTGTTTCTACAACACGAATTCAATAAACTATTACCATAGAAATCCTTCATGTATTCTACCTAGTCCTTTTTGCCTAAGAGTAAATTTCTTCTGTCACGTTAGATATACTTGTCCTGTTTCAGGTTTCATATGTGTAGAACCATATGCTGTCATTTACGCATGACCACCTACCTGCTTGCAACATTTGGGTCCTCACAGTGCTGTGTGGAGTAGCTTTGGTCAGAGTTCCTTTCACTGTAAATTCCATGATATAAATGTTGTATGCCACGTATTGTGTTTGTTTTATTTTATTCAGTGCTGGATATTGAACTGAGGGCCTCAGACATACTAGGAACTCATTGTGCATTTTCTACCATGGATGGATAGAGGAGTGTTTCTCTTTTGAGAAAGACTTCACGAAACTGACACAAAACTTGTATGTACACAGGTAAACACACTGCTTTTTCCCACAAAACTGTGAGTAAAGTTGCTAGTTCACAGTGACACAAACATTGTGATTAAATAATCTATGACAATTGGCAATCAAATACCCACATAAACAGTGCAGTGTTTCCTATAATAACTAATAAATGTATTTTCAAATCCAGCCCATATTATGTGTGAAGTTAATACTGTCACTTTGTGGTTCTACTTTTCAACTTACTGTTGTCTAAAAGAAGCATCTTATTTCCATGTGTTTACCAACCATTTGGGTATCTTCTTTACAGAGTGTGGTTAAGTCTTTAACATATTTTACCATTAAGGTGTCACTTTTTAATGATTTATTAGAGACATTTTTTGTAAGTGGTTTTTTAAAGTACAGTGTCCCATCAGCTTGAATTTTAACAAT